GTATTGGGGGCCGCTATGGGGGTGTTGGTGGTGTTATTCGGGGTTCTGGACCCCAAAAAATAAAAATAAAAATTGCGGGGTGCCGACGACCCCCGACCGGTAGGTGCCGACCAGCCAACCGGTCGGCGGGTCGGCAGCCGACTAGTCAAGGGCGGCCGACCGTCGGTGTGTGCAACACTGCTGTACGGGTAATATCAGAGTCTGCAATTTGGAGGCCGCGCGGCCTAGGAAGCCACTCGCCAAGAGGCAACCAGGCTGCTATATCTCGAGGAGGAGCCAGTTGCTCCTCATTGTCGGTGTGCAAGTTTGGAGACACACTGGTTGGAGCGCTGGCTGGAGCAGCGCTAGCATCAGCTGCCTGCTGGGGAAGGATCAAGGACATGGAGGAGGAAGAAGACCAGGACTAGGTAGGGGAGCGCCAGAGGTACTTTGGCTATGGTGGTTGCCATCTTCATCACCTTGGTGGGCGCTGCAGCAGTAAGGCCCAGTTGGGGCAGAGCTACATCAAGAAGCTTCGAGGCTGAGTCAGGCATGGCAGCCTGAGCTAGCGCAGCCACAGCGGCTTTGTGTTGTCCTTTGGACAGCAGGGCGATGCCCTGGTAGTCCACCATAACCTCTGCCTATGAGAGAGAAGAGAGTGAGGGGCGGCCATGGTTATGGTGGACCTCAAGTGATACCTGCAGTGGAAGAGGGAATCGGACATTGATTCTGGATCAGCCATTCAACACTGTTATTATTATTCTTGTTTGAATAAGAGAGGAGGAGATAAGGAGGAGAGTGGTCGGCAAAGAAGAAGAGCATTATCATTGGTCTATGCTGGTGTATATCATCTTCTTCTTCTTTCTTTCTTCTTCTTCTTCTTCTTCTTCTTCTTCTTCTTCTTCTTTCCCTCTCTCTCCTCTCAAGTTCATTCATTTCTTTTTGCAAGTGGACGGCATTGTACTTTCTTATGAATGTGTATTTTGAAATTGGCCAGGATCATAACAGCAGCAAGAAACGAGAATCTTGACTTTGAACTTTTAAGGAAAAGTGAGCACACTGTGAATAACTGAACCCTGTTTTTCTGTTGTGGTCCTTTTTGGCGGTTTCGTTTATTTCGGATTTCGCAGGTTTTGGCACTGATTCGAAAGGAGTCTGGATATCATGCGGCAATTCAATCCTGTGTTGGTGCGAGGGGATTGATGCAGGTACTAGGGGCAATAACCATTACCAGGAGGGGCAATTACTAGGCTAAATGTTAAACCGCCAGTACTTTCCTAAAGTAGTGCCGGTTAACAAGCTACAATTTTAGGAAACGTACGGGCCACTACAGGAGCGCCCAAATTCATCCGACTAGAAGCGTTTCCACTCTATTTTTTCCCATGGCCGATAGCTGGGCCAAGTACTGGTGGTTAAATTGTTGTGGCTGTGGTTTTACTGTTATTTTGCTACAGCTGCTATTGGAAAGTCAGGAGCGTCTATTGCAAACGCAGTACTGTTTTTTCAGATTTCCCATTTGGTGCCCCACATGGGGTGAAGAGGGACGGATTACAGTTCTCCGCTGTGGAAGGTTAGGCCCACAGCAGCTCAGAGTCTGAGGCAAGTATGATCTTTGTGATAGTCAACATCCTTTTTGTTCTCGTGGCACGCCGGACCCGCTTTCCAGCAGGTGACGCTCCCCACCAAGAGATGGAGTTGCTGACCATAGCCTGAGGTTTACTAGGAGAGGTGGCTTGTGACCCCTCGTCCAGTAGATCTAGTCAGGCTTGAACTAGACAGCACTAAACTGCAGAGGATTTCTGTTCCTCAGGTTAAACGACCAGTACTTGGCGCAGCGATTGGCCGCGGGAAAAAATAGAGTAGAAATGCTTCTAGTCGGATGAATTTGGGCGTTCCTATAGTGGCCTATACGTTTCCTAAAATTGTGGCTTGTTAAGCCACCAGTACATCCAGCTATCGGCCGCCGGCCCTCTTCGGAGGCCGCCCGCCACCGATTCATTTTATCGACGGCACTGGGCCTCCGAAAATTTTGTAGGCGACGAGTTTTCTTTCAAGCAAGGCTGGGGCCGTGTACTGGCGGTTTAACGGGCACGACTTTAGGAATTACTTACTAGTCTAGTGGTTTAAACTTTAAACCACGAGCACCAGTACATCCGGCCCTCCCTTTTGTACGAGGCAGATTTCCCCCTGGGCATCATGCTTTGCTGAAACGCCAGCCCAACAATTTTCATTGGTTTTGGCTGGCGCCAACAACCATTTTGGTCCGGGCTGCCCCGAGCCTCCAATTTTTTCGGAGAGCGCCTCTCATTGAGAATTTCTGAAGTTGCCTGGGGCCATGTACTGGTGGTTTTTTGAAGCCTCGTCCCAGAGTCGCGGCTCGAATGCAGGGTGCTCCGTAATCGATCCCGAAGCGAAGATTGATCATTTTCTTTTCCCGCAGTTCCTAAGCTCTCTAAGCAACTTGTCGCGAATGCCAGTAAGTACCGGGGTTCCGTTTCGGTGGATGGATCCATCCACAGGTAAAACTGGCCTCGCGTGCGACCCGTTTTGCCTGCCAGTGGATGGATATCCAGCGAAGCGGCGCGGCCCCGGCACTTCCCGAGAGTTGCGACTGCATGCATGCCGTGTACTGCTGCTGGTTTTAAAGTGCTATGGCCTTGAGGTATCATTGTCGAACTGCGGGCTCCGGGTAATTCTTTTTTTTTTTTTTTTTTTTTTTTTTTTTTTAACAAACAGGGCCTTATGGTTCTGGTTCCATATCCATTCTGGGGAGCGTCAGTCCGGTTACTATTCCCCCGGCAAGTCAAAACTGATTACATCATGCATGACCCCCCACTCACGCTTCCTTCCGTCTGGCCGAAGGAACCCTGACCAGCATTGTTTGCTTCCATTAGGAGGATTAACTGTCAGCTTGCCTTCCCCTGCAATCCCTCTCAGATCCCTCTGTGGGAATCTGGCAAATAAACTTGTAAAACAAGGAGAGCGGAGACCGGCCCGTAAGTTGCTATTTCAATCCACCATTGGTGTCTTGTGGCTCCTGTATATGTCCTAATGTTGCCTGTGGGTCCTGGGGCCAGCCCACAGCTTGTTGTAGTGGGCTTCTCCACCTGATTTCCGAGTTATGCCAGTCTTTCCAGCGTATGCTGCCATCTCTTCGCTCAGCCACTTTTCCTCCCACCAGCCGAACTTCGACAAACCTGGAGAGGATAATATTCTGCCTCTCATCGTCCTCGGGCAATGTCTGTTTCGTTCTGTGCCACCTGCATAAGATCTCCGCCTGAATCAGTGTCCCGGTTTCTGCCCAAACCTTTTCTCTTGGCGTTGATACACCTTCAATCCGTTCTGCTGCATCTCTCCTTCCATATAGACCATAGCGTGACTTTCCTGATCATACCGTACCATGTCTTCTCTGAGCTGTTGAGGTCAGTCGGCATTTTTTTTTTTTTTTT